ACGACGACGACGACGACGACTCGATCTCGCGGAGCTCGCGGACGAGCCGCCGGTCCGCGTCCGAGGGCTCGCTGAGCCGCGCGACGTCCGCGCGGTCGTCCGACGACGACGACGACGACGACGACGGCGACGGCGCCGGCGACGACGGCGACGGCGGCGCGGCGCCCGCGGCCGCGGGCTCGGCGCCGCGGCCGCGCGACCGCGGCGCGGCCGCGTCGCCCGCGGCCGCGCCCGCGCGCGGGCCGCGGTCCGCGGCGAGCCGCGAGCAGATGCACGTGCGCATGCAGCGCATGGCCGCGTCGCTCACGGGCAACTCGACGCGCCACAGCGCGCTCGCGGCGTCGCAGCGCGGCGGCCGCGCCGGTTCCGTCGCGAACAGCCGCCTGGACCACCGGAGCGCGCGCGAGTCGCTCCTCGTCAAGGCCCACGGCGCGGAGGGTGCCGACGCGCCCATCGAGGCGCTCAACGAGAAGGCCCTCGCCGTCATGGCGCGCGTCCAGGACAAGCTCAGCGGCTGCGACTTCCGCGACCACCAGGGGCCCCTCGCCGTCGCGGACCAGGTCGACCGCCTCATCGCCCAGAGCACGGACGTCCAGAACCTGTGCCAGTCCTTCGTCGGCTGGTGCCCGTTCTGGTAAACTCCGTGTGTTCTCCGGCCGGGTGTTCTCGATCTCATCCGAGGCGCGCGGCGAGGCGTCCGCGCAGGCGGAGTCCTAGGCGGGCGTCGCAGGCAGGGCTCGACGAGTCTCGACGTTGCTCGATCGAGGGCGCGCGCGTTCGAGCCTCAACGACGAACGCAAAATCGTGGGCTACACACCATAGATCAGATGTCGACGCCGTACGGACAGGGACAGGCTCCCTTCGGCGCACGGAAAATAACGCTGAGCGGTGATCGCAGTCTCATCATGTCGCCAGTCGTCGAATGTTCACGGCGGGACAACGGCGCCGACCCGTTTGGCCTGATGAAAGCTTTGAAGGCCGAGGCCGACGAGGAGATGCCGGAGGACTCTTCAGATAGTCCAGAGGATGACTGGTCCATGCGCCCCTGCGACTCTCAACAGGACTCGCAGCACGACGACGGAACGATCGACGACGACGAGTCGATGGCGACGATGGGTTCGCCGGCGCGGCGCCGGCCGGAGCGAGCCCCCTGGTCGCCCGAGGCGTCGAGCTTCGGGCGAGCGGTGCGAGCCCCCTGGTCGCCCGAGGCGTCGACCTACGCGGTGCCTCTGACGACGACGCCGACGTCGCCGACGTCCGCCGACGGTTTGTCCCCGATGGAGCAGAACGCGCGCCTGCCCGACACGCCGGCGCCGTTTCCGCTCGTCGGCCGGCGCCGGGCGCGGAGGGATTCGTGCGCCATCTCCCTCGCCTTCGACGACACGACGGCGACGGCGTGGCGCACGGACGACGTGCTCTCGCGCACGATCGGGGGGATGACGATCGAGCCCGTGGCCAAGCGGCAGCGCCTCGGGGGTGCCGGGCCCGCGGGCGACGCCACAGGCCTGGGCGACCTCGAGCGCGCCGCCGATCGGGACGCTGTGTAACAATCGCTAGGGTGTATACATGTGAATCAGGGGTGGGGGGAGTAGGGTAGATGTCCCTCTCTTGGGGCGAGGGTGTGCGCGTCGACGTCGCGGCTAAGAGTTCCAGTCGAACCAGGGGAAACTAACGCCCTCCGTACCGTTCTTCGCGCAGAGTGCCACGAACGCCGCCGGCACGTGCCAGTTGCTCTCAAGCCCGCTCAGCCGCGACGGCGCCCGCCCGGACCAGGTGCCCACCCCAGGCAGCCATCGTCCCCGCCGCCGCCGAGCGACAAAGGACAGGAGCGTCGGGGGTTCGGTGTGGTTACGCGCCGCGCGTCGGGGTCTACGGCCGAGGCGTCACTGCGACTCGAAGAGGCGGTAGGGCTTGGCCACCGTCCCCGGGTGGCGCCTCGAGGGCCCGCCCGCCGCGGGCGTCTCGTCGGCGTCGCCGGTTTCGCCCGCCGCGGGCGTCGCCGGCGGCTGCGGGAGCTCGGGCTTGAGCGCGGCGTCGGACGGCGTCTGCACGCGCGTCGCCTGCGTCCTGCCCAGCAGCGCGGACGGGAGCCGCGTCGCGAAGACGGCGGCGACCGTCGTGCGGAGCTGGACGGACTGGCAGACGATCAATTCGCTGAGCACGGGCACGAGCCACGCGCAGTGCTTCGCGAACTTGTCCGGCGGCAGGTCGCGGACGAACGCCAACGCGTCGAGCGCGAGCGGCGTCGCCGCGTCCAGCAGCTTCGGGGGCAGCGGCAGACCGCCGTTGCCCTGCGCCGCGGCGCGCTCCGCGGCCGCGTAGTCGCGGAGCACGTCGCGGCAGAGGCCGAGCAGCCGCGGCTCGGCCAACGCCGCGTAGTCCGCCCCCAGGCCGTCGAGCGCGCGGAGCGCGCCAAAGGCCTCGGCGCCGGCGGCCACGGTCATGGCCACGAGGTCCGGCGCCTCGTCGGCGCCCATGAGCCGCTCGCTGAGGCACTCCGCGCGGAGCCGCGCGTCGCGGTCGAACGCGGCGCCGAACGCGCGCGACGTCGCCATCGACCGGAGCAGCGCGTCCGCGCCGCCCTCGCTCAGCGCGCCCGCCTCCGCGGCGCTCACGAGGAGCCCCCCCGCCAGCGGCAGGAGCTGGAGCGACGCGACCAGGCGCGCGATCGTCGCGCCGCGGTCGAGGCCCGCGGCGACGGCGCCCGCGTCGCCCTTTTCGTCGCCCGGCGCGGGCAACAGATAGGCCCGGAGGTCCGGCGGCAGGGCGCGGTCCACGAGGTGGGCGACGCCGTGGGCGGCGACGTCCCAGGTGTCCGGCGGCGCCGCCGGGTCCATGGCCGGGATCGCCGCGAGCGTCCGCGCCAAGGCCTCGACGGCGACGCGCGACAGCGCCTCCGCGTCCTGGCAGACGCAGTCCCCCAACAACGCGAGCATCTCCCCGAGCAAGGGCGCGTTCTCCGCGCCGCCGCCGCGCGCCGCGTAGAGCGCGACGCAGGCGTCGAGGACCGCGGGCGCCGTCGTGTCGAGCCACGACGCCGCGTCGCGGCTCGGCGGCGGCGCGGCGTCCGTCGGCCGCGTGGACCCGGGCCGCGGCGCGTCGTCGGTCCAGGCGCTCTCGAGGGACGGGAAGAGCACGCCCCGGAAGACGAGGCGCCAGGTCTCGGCGCCGAAGTCGCCGCAGTCGCGCTCGAGCACGCGGCGGAGCGTCGACAGCGCGCCGTTGCGCACGACCTCGCGCGGGTCCGCGACGCGCTGCGCGAGGCCCAGCAGCAGCGGCCACCACAGCTCCAGCTGGGCGCCGTCGCCGCCCGCCGGGGCCGCCTGATCCTTGGCGTCGTCGCTGTTCGCGACGGCGTCGCGGATCGTGCCGTCGGCGAGCGCGCGGCCGCAGCGCTCGAGCTTCGCGAGCGCCGCGCGCGCCATGGCCGTCGTCGCCTCGTCGCGGCCCGGCGCCGACGCGAAGGCGACGGCGCAGTTCACCAAGTCCACGAAGTCCACGGCGACGGCCTCGAGGTGGCCGTCGATGACCTGGCCGAGCGACGCGAAGGCGAGCGCGGCGACGCGCGGCTCGCCGTCGCCCGCGGCCGCGCCGAGCACGGAGAGGATGGACCGCCAGCCCGACTTCAAATTCGCCGCGCGCGCCTGCACGAGCACGTCGACGCACGCGACGACGTACTCGCGGACGTCCGCGCGCGACGCCCGGCCCGCCTCGTCGCGGTTCGCGCGGAAGACGCGCTCGAAGGGCCGGAGGAAGGCGCGCTGGAACGTGAAGGCCTTGAGCTCCTCCTTGCTCAGGAACTTGAGGCTGAGCTGGCGCAGCGAGTCCACCGCGTAGCGCGCGACGTCCGCGTTCGCGTGCGCGCCCGCCCTTGCAAAGTGCGCCGCGAGCACGCGCCACATGCGGTCCCAGGCGAGGCGCGGCCGGTGGGCGATGTTCCCGTCGGCGACGTCCACGAGGCGCTGCAGCGAGTAGACGCGCGGCCGCGGCGGCGCGCCGAGCGGCGGCAGCGGCCTGCCCGCGCTGTCGCCGCCCTGGTCGTCGTAGGCGCCGCCGGCCTGGACGTCCGCCTCGCTCAAAGCAAAGGTCGCCCCGAGGTCCAGGGCGTCGCCCGTGGACAGCTCCGCGGCGGAGACGGCGCAGAGCTGCGTGATGAACGCCTCGACGCCCACCGCCGAGAGCTTCGCCGACCGCGCGAATAAAGCGTCCAACGCGGCGTCGTCGATGCCCGAGTGGGCCGCCAAAGCCCGCGCGTTCTCCTCCTCGCGCGTCTTGCGCTCGGCCTCGGCGCTCCGCGACGCCGCGGAGCCCTTGCCCTGCTCCTCCCCCCCAAAGTACGCGTCGTCGGTCCGCGCGCCCGTCGAGACGAGCCTCAAGTGCGCGACCTTGGACGCGACCCGCAGCAGCGGCAGCCAGGACGCCCCCAGGTGCTCGGCGCACTCGTCGTGGGACGCCAAACCCAGCAGCGTCTCCGCGCAGGCCGCGTGGCGCGGCAGCAGCGGCTTCGGCGGGCCGTAGAGCGTCGTGAACGCGGCTAAAGCGTTCACGAGCGAGAGGCACGCCACATCCAACCCGAGGCAGCTCGCGATCGTCGCCGACATCTTCAGCCCGCGCAGCGCCAGCGCCGTCGGCCGCGGGCCCCGGAAGATGCGCTCGAGCGCGTGCGAGAACGCGGAGAGCGCGGGCCCCCACGCGACCTCGAACATCTTCGGCGCGACCAGCGCCGCCGTCGCTTTGCCCGCGCGCTTCGGCGCGCCGGCTTTCGACGCGTCGCCCGAGGGGAAGGCGCTGAAGGCCGGCCGCGACTGGCGCAGGAGCGTCACGGACGCGCGGACCATGTCCTCGCGCTCGCGGACGAACGCCTCCGCGCGGCGCCGCTGCGGCGTCGGCCCGCCGAGGCCGAAGGCGCCGCCCATGGACTGGGCGAGCTGGCTCGCCGCCGTGCCCTCCTTCGCCGCCTCCTTCTCGCGGAGCCGGTCGTCCTCGGCTAAAGTGATGGGCGCGAGCTTGATGCGGTCGAAGATCTCGTCGAGGAACGCGCCGTCCAAATCCGCGCCGTTGCAGATGCCCCGGTTGTTGCGCCGGAAGCCCTCCTTGGTCATCTTCTTCTCCTCCTTGACCGCCGGGTTGTGCAAATCCGTCTGGAGCATGATCACCGAGAACGCGAGGACGAACGCGACGTCGGCCGACGGGAAGACGGCCTTGTTCAACGCGCAGTAGCGCTCCGCGTACTTCTCCATCATGCGGTCGATCTTCTGGGCCTCGCCCGGGAGGCGGAAGCCGCTGAGGAAGTGGCGGATGGCGACGTCGAACTCCAAACCCGTGAAGTCCATCGCGTCGACGTACTCGTGGAGCACCTTGACGCAGAAGCCGTCCTGGTACGCCTCCTCCTTGCCGAGGTAGTCGCCGACGACGGTCTTGTCCAACGCCGCGGCGTGGGCGTGGAGGAAGGCGGCGACGGACTTGGGGTCCGTCTCGTCGACGTGGCCCTTGCCGTGGAGCGTCTTGAGGCCGTGCTTCGGCTTCATGTTGAACTTGAGGATGCCGTCCTTGAGGTCCTCCTGGAGCCGCTGCTTGAGGTCGAAGGCCTGGACGCTGTCGTGGCGCTTCGGCGCGTCGGGCGGCGCCGGCGAGTCGTCGCCGCCGTCGCCGCCGTCGCCGTCGCCGCCGTGGCCGACGGCGGCCGACGCGAGCGGCGCGGACGCCGCGACCTTGTCGAGCTCGACGGCGCCGTCGCCGCCCGTCTCCAGGTCCGCCCAGGCGACGTCGCCCGCGTCCAACGCGACGTCGCAGCCCTTGGCCAGCGACGCCAAGGTCGCGACGAGGCCCGAGAGCGCGAGGCGCTTGAGCGCGCCGTCGTTCGCGGCCGCGCGGCGGCCCGCGTCGCCCTGGCCGCCCTGGGCCGCGGCGAGCGCCGCCGCCGACGCCGACCCCTTGACGACGCGCGCCAGCGCGACGACGATGTGCTTGAAGACGTCCACGGACTCGAAGTCCGCGTCGTAGCTCAGGAAGATCTCGACGAGCGAGTCCGTGTCGCCGCAGAGCTTGTGGAAGACCTCGAGCACGAGCATCTTGTGCTCGTGCGTCGAGTTGTCCGAATCTAAAATCCGCAGGAAGATGTGGTGGATGAAGACCTCGATCTCCGCCTTGAGGTGGTCGCGGAACTTGGAGATGAGCGCGACGAAGATGCGCAGGCTCAGCGCGACGACGTGCGTCACGTTCGACGTGCAGTTCTTCAGCAGGGACACGCAGAGATACTGGCGCACGGCGCCGACGAAGCGCGCGCCGCCGCGGAACGACGGGCCCGCGTGCTCGAGCACGCTCAGCAGCAGCTCGAGGCTCAGCACCTTGGACTGCATGGAGATGGGCTCCGACGGCGCCGCCGGCGCGTCGCCGTCGCCGCCGCCCTTCATGGACAGCTTGCACAGCGCGCGGAAGAGGAGGAACGCGTCCTTGTGGTGCGCGGAGCCGAAGGGCGTCGCCGCGGCGAGGTGCGACCGCTTCGCCAGCACGAGCGCGCCGTCCTCGATCGTGCAGTGCTCCGGCGTCGGCGCGACGCCCAGCACCCTGGGCTCCGCCTCGTCGCCGGCCTCGTCGCGCAACGCCGCGGCGTCGCACCGCAGCGTGACGCGCGCGCCGTCGGCCGACGCCCATTTCTTGAGCTCGACGTGGGCGAGGCCGTCCTCGCCCAGCGCCGCGAGCACGCCGTCGCCGACGCCGGGCACGGCGCAGCCGTCGCCCACGGCGAAGGCCGGCGGCGGCGCCTCGGGCGGCGCGTCGCCGCGCGCGTCGTGCGCCTCCATGCGCTGGAAGACGATGGAGAGCATCTGCGTGAGCGTCGCCTTGGCCGTCGTCTTGTTCACGGCGTTGCGGGTCACGAGGTGGATGTTGTAGCAGGACCGCACGGCGACGAGCAGCGAGCCCTCGTGGATCGCGCACGTGTTCGACGTCACGGCCGTGAGCAACGCCTTGATGACCTGGAGCTGCACGCCGTCGTCGTCGAAGTCGTCGCAGCCGCAGATCGTCGCGACGATGCCGTCCATGGTGCTCCCGCCGGGCGCGGCGTCGGCCTCGGAGCTCGCGGCGGACGCCGCGTCGTCGCCGTCGCCGCCGTCCGCCGGCGACGCGGGGCCCGACGCCGTGCCCCGCAGGTAGCCGTAGGCGATGAGCTTCTGCACGCAGTCCAGGGCCTCCTCCATGGCCGGCGCGTGCTGCGACTCGCACGCGAGCCGCAGCGGCGCGAAGTACGCCTCGGCGTCCTCGCCGTTCTCGCCCGCGGCCTTGGCCGCGGCGAGCTTCTCCAGGGCCTCGTCGCACGCCGCGCGCAGCTCCTTGAACTTGGCCACGCCCTTGGCGGCCTTGGTGATCTTCGTGAGCGTGCGCGAGACGAAGGTCTCCATGATTTGTCAGCGCCGCGTGGCGCTTGTGGAAACCGTCGAAAAGCGCCGAGTCGACGTTCCGGGGGCGCCGCGGTCCGAAGGCTGTCTCGCGTGGGCCGACGGCGCTCGACGGAGCTCGAGGGTGGCACGCCGCGCGCGGTTCAGCAGCGCGCGCGCGACGAGATGATTAATCACCGCGAGTGGCGCCGCTGCTTTGCCGCGATCGCGCGGCCACGCCGTCGCGCTCCGCGCCTGTGGCAAGACCGTCGACGCCGCCTCGCGCCGTCGCCTCCGACAGCCCGGACTCCGCGCGCCGTGTGAGACCGCTCGTCGACAAACACAACTCCCGCGCCGTAAGAGAGACCGCGCCTCCCGCGCCGTGCGACGCGCGCCCGCGCGACACCCAAATGGCGCAGTTCGGCCAGTACGGCGGCCAAGCCGGCGGCGCGCCGCAGTTCGAGCAGCAGCCCTGGTTCCAGATGGAGCCGCAGGGCAACATGGGGTCGAACCACTCGAGCGCGAACAGCCTGGACGGCATGTACGCGCCGTCGCCGGGCTTCCAGGGCCCGGGCGCGGGCTACGGGAGCTACGACAACGGCCAGTCGTCCTTCGGCTACGACCCGAGCCTCGAGGACGAGCCGCCGCTCCTCGAGGAGCTGGGCATCGACTTTGGCGACATCTGGAGCAAGACGAAGCTGGTGCTGAAGCCGAGCCTGAGCGAGATCGACCCCGTCCTAGTGGAGGACGCGGACCTCGCGGGCCCGCTCGTCTTCGTCTTCGCGCTGGGGGGCATGCTCATGCTCCACGGCAAGCTCCACTTCGGGTACGTCTACGGCTTCGGCATGTCGTCGTGCGTCGCGACGTACGCGCTGCTGAACCTGATGACGGAGAGCTCCGCGGGCATCGAGTTCGGCGCCGTCGTCTCCTTCCTCGGCTACTGCCTGCTGCCGGTCATCGCCCTCGCCGTCGCCGCGTTGGCCGTGTCCATGACGTCGACGCTGGGGAGCATCCTCTCGGCGCTCACGGTGCTCGCGTCCACGGGGACGTCCACGCGGCTCTTCGAGGCGAAGCTCCACATGCGCCACCAGCGCTACCTCATCGCCTACCCCCTCGCGCTCATCTACTCCGTCTTCGTGCTGATCACGATCTTCTAAAACTTAACTTACGACCGGCGCTTCTTCTTCGCCTCGCCGCCCCCCGCGCTCCGGCCCTTCTTCCGGCCGCCGACGTACTCGCCGAAGCGCGCGACCATGTCCTCGTCGTCGTCGTTGAGCTTCCGGGGCGCGACGTACGCGCCGAAGCTCCGGTAGAACGCCGCCTCGGCCTCGTCGACGTGCGGGTTGAAGCCGCCGAAGGACCGGCGCCCGAAGAGCCGCGGCTCGGGCCTCGCCGCGGCGGCCGCGGGCGCCGCGCCGGCCGCGGGCGCCGGCGCCGCGGCCGCGGGCGCGGCGGTGGGCGCGGCCTTGTTGCGCTGCATGAACTTCATGTTGAGGAGCGCGCTGCTCATGCCGGCCTTCTTGCCGTCGCCGCTCTTCGGCGTCGGCGGCCGCCGCGGCGCGGCGCCGAGCGCGATGCCGTCGCTCGCCGGCGCCGGCGCCGACGACGCCTGCGTGTCCGGCGTCGCCGCCGTCCGCCGGTCCTTCTTATGCTTCTTCTTCTTGCCCGAGGCGGGCCTGTCCTGCTCGCTGGGGCTTTGTGCGCCGGGCTTCGCCGCCGCCGCCGCCGGCGCGCTGGTCGAGCTCTTCTCCGACGACTTGCGCTTCTTGGCCATCGGTTCCTAGTGTTTCGGCGGGGTCGCCAGCGGCGCGGCGGGCTTTGAGCGGGCTCGAGCACGCGCGCAGCGCCGGTGGCGGTCGACGCTGCCTCTGGCGCTCTCCCGATCGACCGCGGCCGTCGCTGAACGAGCGCCAAGTGCATCGAGGCCGCGTCGTGCGCGCCGGCGTCCGGCGATGGGCGGGGTTCGCGGAGCGAGAGGCGAGAGACGACGCGCCGCCGACGCGGCGGCCGCGCGCGCGGCGTTCCGGGGGGCGGCGCGGTCGACGGGTCGATTTCGTAGGTCGAGACACGCACCTCGCCGCGGGTGGAGCGCCCGGACCATGGCCGACGATGAGCCCAAGCCCGACGAGGAGGTCGCGGCCATGTTCGACCTGTCGAAGATGAAGAAGAAGAAGAAGAAGAAGAAGGTCGAGGAGTCGGACGCGCCCGCGGAGGGCGGCGCCGCGGCGTCGGCCGCGGCCGAGGGCGACGGCAAGTACGCGTGCTACTCCTACAAGGAGCTGCTGGACCGCGTCGTCGGCATCCTCCAGGCGAACAACCCGGAGCTCAGCGAGAAGCGGCGGCACACGATGAAGCCGCCGCAGCTCATGCGCGTCGGCACGAAGAAGACGCTGTGGGTCAACTTCCAGGAGATCTGCAAGATGATGCACCGGAGCCCGGAGCACGTCTTCCAGTTCTTCATGGCCGAGCTCGGCACCGAGGGCTCCATCGACGGCACGCAGCGCCTCGTCATCCGCGGCAAGTACGTGCCCAAGTACATCGAGTCGCTCCTCCGCAAGTACATCGTCGAGTACGTCACGTGCCAGATGTGCCGCAGCCCGTCGACGAGCCTCACGCGCGACTCCGTGAGCCGCCTCTTCTTCCTCCACTGCCAGGACTGCGGCTCGAGCCGCTCCGTCGCGCCCATCCGCGCGGGCTTCCACGCCCAGACCCGCGCGGACCGCCGCGCGCTCCGCAAGTGAGCGACGGGGCGCCGCCGCGTCCCCCCTTCCGCCCGACCCCCCTCTATATTACGATTCCGCTCTTCCGGCTGGCGTCGGTCGACGCAACTTCAACGTTGATGCAATGTGAACTTTCTAAAAAACGGGGCTCCCCTTCCCAAGCCACCCAAGCCACTTGATGGTGTAGAAGAACCGAGTGTCCCCATGGCCGCTCTGGTGGCCGATGACCCGCACAAGCCGCTGCCGAAGCGCGAGAAGAAGAAGGAGCGCGACGGGTCCCTGCTCGGCGTCTTCACCTTCTCTCGGAAGAAGGACAAGGCCGACGGCACGCCGGGCTCCGTCGTCAACGACGGCGACAAGTCGTCGACGGTGGGCTCGGAGCTCGCGCCCTCGGCGGGCACGGCGGCGCGCGCGGCGAGGACGGCGCGCAAGGCGCCGCGGGGCCGGCGGCCGTCGGCGTCCGGGAGCGAGGCGAGCTTCCGCGCGCCGCCGTCCGAGGCGACGGACGACGCGCTCTCCGAGGCGCCGGACGACGCCGTCTCCGAGGCCTTCGAGCCCGCCCCGAGCGAGGCGACGGACGACGCGCTCTCCGACGCCAGCGCGGCCGGCGAGGCGCTGCCGCGCGCGGCCAAGGCGCTCTACAAGAGCGGCGGCGCGGAAAAGCGCGCGTTCCTCGACGCGTGGGTCGCCGCGCAGCTCGCCCGGGGCGTCGAGCCGACCAAGGGCGACGCCATGGGCTACCTGCGGTCCGTGGGCGTGGACCTGCGCAAGGTGGGCCACAAGCAGTGGCGGTCGTGGCTCGCGAACATCGAGTCCGCCGTCGACAGCCCCGGCGACGCGCCCGACGACGCGTCCGCGTCGACCGCGGGCGACGCGGACGCGCCGCTGACGGCGTCGGCCCTCGCGGCGCACGAGCGGGCCCTCGAGGCCGCGCCCGCGCGGCGCATGTTCAACTGCGCGCGCCACGGCGTCTTCTGGCGCAAGGTGCCCGCGCGGAAGCCCGTCGCGACGTGCCGCCGCTGCGCCGCGGCGCCCGCGGGCGGCCCGGCGCCGCGGCTCGAGGCGCTGCCCGTGGCGGACGAGTGCGGCCGGGGCCGCTTCGAGTGCCAGGAGTGCGGCCACGGCTGGACGTCGAACACGGCGCACCGGAGCCTCGCGCAGTACTGCAACGAGTGCGACGCCGTCGACGCGCAGCGCGGCACGTTCCCGCTCGAGATCCGCGCCGCGCGGCCCCTCTGGCTCATCCACAAGCTCCAGAAGCGCTACCTCGAGGGCCGGGGCGCGGCGCCGGCGCAAAACGCGCCGTTCGCGGGGCTCGCGGACATCCCGGAGGACGCCGCGTCCGAGCACCCGCTCCCGCCGCGCGCGGCGCCGGCCGCCGCGGCGGCGCCGCCGCCGCCGTCGAGCAACTCCGCGGCGGCCTCGGGCCTCGGCGACGGCGACTACTGCGTCGTCGCCCCCGCGGGCCGGGCCGACGCGGACGAGCCCGCGGGGACCTTCTACTACGACCCGGCGCGCGAGGGCGGCGGCGGCGGCACGACGTACTACGAGCCGACGCCGGCCGTCGCGGACACGAAGATCGTCGTCGAGCCCCGCGAGGGCGACGCGGCGGCGGCGGCGCCGCCCCTTAAAGCCGCGCCGAAGCGCCTCGGCCTCCGCGCGCACCACTGCTCCGGCTGCGCCACGGGCCGCTGCAAGCGGCCGCCCCCCGTCTCCAAGACCCACGTCTCCACGGGCTCCACGGCGACGTCGCTCTCGACGAAGACCTGGTCCACGGGCGGCTCCTCCGCCTACACCTGCGGCTCCATCAACAGCAAGGTCTAGTCGCGCGCGCCGCCCTTTAATAAGGTTGAAGTGAAACAACCGAACCTTTGCAGGGAGCTTTGCGGGAGCGCGCTCCTGATGCTGCCCAAGCACACACGGGTTTTGCCATCGTCGTCATCGTCGTCGTCACCATCCTCATGGCGGCGCTGCTGCGCCGGGCGACGAAGAAGAGCGGCGACAGGCGGCGCGCGGCGCCGGAGCGCGTCGGGTGCGCGACGGCGTGGGCGCGGCTGCTCGAGGACGCAGACGCGCCCGTTGCGATCGCGCCGCACTACGAGACGGGCGCCGCGCAGTACGACCCGGCGGACCTCGTCCTGATCGACGGCCTGCTCGCGCGCGGCGAGTGCGACGCGCTGATCGCCGCCGCCGAAGCCGAAACGTTCGGCTCCACCGGCTTCCCGCGCCAGTACCGCGGCAACCTCCGCCTCATCACGACGGACGCGTCCCTCGCGGACGCGCTCTGGGCACGCCTGCGGCCGCTCGTCCCGGCGACCGTCACCCACAAGGGCGCGACCTGGGACGCCTACGGCTGCAACGAGCGCCTTCGCCTCGCGCTCTACCACCCCGGCGACCGCTTCGCGTCGCACCTCGACGCGGACTACCGCCGCGGCGACGGCAGCATGTTCACGGTGAACATCTATCTCAACGACGTCGTCGACGGCGGACGGACGCGCTTCGAGGGCGGCGAGCGCGGCCGCGACCGGCCGGTCAATTTGGCCGTCGCGCCCGCCGCGGGCCGCGCGGTCGTCTTCGCGCAGCCGTCGGCGGGGCGCTACCTCTACCACGACGGCGAGCCCCTCGGCTCGGGGCGCAAGTACCTCCTCCGGACGGACGTCATGTACCGCCGCCGCGGGGGCGAACCGGCCGCGCGGAGCGACGACGAGGTGGCCAGGCTCTACGGTCTCGCCCCGGGCGCGTGAGGCTCACGGCGCCCGTTCGCGCCGCCGCGCCACGGCGTCCGGCTGGCCCAGGAGCGCCGCCCGCTCGAGCCACGCGGCGGCGAAGGGCGCGCCGGGGTCCGCGGCCCAGAGGTCGTACATGGCGTCGGCGTCGTGGCCGCGCGCGGCCGCGCGGAGCCAGCGGAGCGCGGCCCGCCGCCCCTCGTCCCCGCCGCCGGCGAGTAACGCGCTCGCGAGGTGGCGCATCGCGCGCGCGTAGCCGCGGCCCGCGGCCTCGGCGTAGCGCGCGAGGCCCGCGACGGCGTCGCCGTCCGCGACGAGCGCGGCGCCGTGGAGCTCGGCCGCCTCCGCCGAGCCCGCGTCCGCGGCCGCGGCGAGCGCGCGCTCCGCGGCCCAGCTCGACCGGGCCGCGTCGACGTCGTCGGCCGCGGCGTCCGCGGCGCGCTTGGCCGCGGACGCGAGCGCGTAGAGCGCGTCCGCGTCGCCGCGCGTCGCCGCCTCGACGTGCCAGGGCCCCGGGCCGTCGGCGTCGCCGACGCGCGCGGCGGGCTTGAACCAGCAGACGAGCGAGACGCGCGAGCCCCGCGTCACGGAGACGCCGTGCCGCAGGTCCCAGCCGTGCGCGAAGCCCGAGCCCCGGTCCAGATCCACGAAGCGCCGCGGCGCGCCGTGGTCCGGGAGCGCGTAGTAGCCGCCGTCGTAGGCCGCCGCGTCGGACACGGCGACGACGAGCGTGACCGCCGCGTGCGCGTCGAAGTGCGCCGGGTGCTCGCCTGGGCAGAAAAGGGTGATTCAACGTCTCTTCAACGTGAGTGTTCCGCGCGCGCGCGTTCCGGAAAACGCATCCACGCTTCGAGACCGTTCCGAGAGATGATCGCTCGTCCAAAAATCAGCCGAAACGAGTGGGAAATGGCCGAGATCGGAGCCTTTGAAGTTGGGAATTTCGCTCTCTTTTGCTGCCCTGGTGCTCGCGGCGCTCGCCCGGGCGGTAGCGCCGCAGGAGGCACTGCGACGGCTCGAGCGCGTCGTAGCCGAACGCGGCGCGGAGCGCGGGCGTCGCGCGGCGCGCGGCGAGCGCCGCGAGCCCCCAGAGCTCCGGTTCCAAGACGCAGCCCCGGTCGTAGAGCACGCACTCGTAGGCCGGCCGGTCGTCGACGCTGTCCGCGCGGTCCTCGAAGGCCGACTCCGCCGCGCGGGCCTCGAGCGCCTTCGCCTCCGCGGCGTCGAGCAGCCCCCGGAGCCGCCGGCCCCGGAGCTTCCGCGGGAGCACGGCGCGGCCGTCGCCGTCGAACGCGAGCGACGCCCGGTCGTCGAGGTCCGGCGGGCCGCTGGGCTCGTCGGCGTCGTCCTCGACCGACGCGACGGCGCCGTCCTCGACGCGCGCCGGCTTGCCGATGCGCCGCGCCGACGCGACGGCGCGCTCCGGCCGGAGCGGCGGCAGCTCGTCGTCGTCGTCTCCTTTGGGCGGCGTGGGCGGCGGCGGCAGCGCGTCGTCGGCGTCTCCATTGGGCGGTGTGGGCGGCTGAAGCAGCGCGTCGTCGGCGTCTCCTTTGGGCGGCGTGAATGGCTCGAAGGGCTCCATCATGCCAAGCACGCCAGCATCTTGTGCATGTTTGCCGCAACATGAGTCGGGGCAGCTTCTGGAGCATGGCGGATGACACCGCGGCGACCGACGCCTCCGAGGGCGCGACCTTCGAGTGCGCGATCTGCTGCAGTCCCATCGAGGCGGCGGCGACGGGCGCCTGCCACCACCACTTCTGCTTCCTCTGCCTCGCGCGGTGGTGCGAGGCCGCCGCCGACGAGGCGCGGGCGCGCGCCTGGCCCGGCTGCCCGAAGTGCCGCGCGCCCGTCACGTCCCTGCGGCTCGACCCCGAGTTCGACGCGGCCGTCGGCGCCGCGCGGAGCGGCGCGCTCGCGGAGCGCTCCGTGCGCCTCGACCTCTCCGACGGCGCGCCCGCGGGGATCACGCTAAAGGCCCGGGACCGGCGGCCGGGCCTGCGCGTCGCCGCGCTCGCCGACGGCGACGCGGGCCGGCGCTGCGGCCTCCGCGTCGGCGACGCGATCGCGTGCCTCGACGGCCTGCCCTGCGAGACGCCGAAGCGCGCCATCGCGCTCGTCAACGCGGCGACGCGCGACCGGGGCGTCGTCGTCTGCCTCCTGGCCAGGCCCCGCGCGCGCGGCGACGGCGACGGCGACGCGGACGGCGGGGACGGCGGCGCGGACGGCGCGGACGGCGCGGCGCGCGAGCGCGAGGCCGCGGGCGGGCCGCCGGCCGCGGCCGTC